GCTTCATGCGAGTGAGTTATTCATTGAATTTATATTTCATCTAATCATTTTCTATGTAATAAAAATTTATCAAATAAGTTAATCATATTGATTGAAAATAGTTCCACATTAGTTCCATCTTTTGTAGGTCCAAATAAAGTTCCTGTTCCCGGAATTGTTCAACAAGTAGATGACTTTATCTCAGAAGACATTAAAAAATTTAATCTCAAGGAAACATTGTTTGTGGTAATGTTAACGTTTCTTTTTCTTTTGACGTAAATGCTATTTCTGTTTATTTTAATTTATACATGTTATTATTACTTTATGCTATAAACAGTTCGGTACTATTATTCTAGACTATGACCAAACCTTAGGACAAGGAGATCCTGCAAAGATCGTAGCAAGTATTGCCCAAAGGTTAGAATGTCTCTACAAAGCAGGTGCTATCAATATCATGTTTTTCACTTCTATGCCAACGGGTACGTTTACCCCAGGTGAACAAGCCAATTTTTCACCAGATGTTTTACAAGCAATTGCAGCAAAGTCAGTACTTCATAATCAATACACAGACGAAGCTTTAGCTGCATTCAAAAAAAAGCATCCAGATGTTAATTTGTTTTTAGTTAAATTTGATGAAGTCATCAGTGCTGCTTTTAGTCCTGAAACTTTACAGAAGTTAGGAATTACCGTTTTTGATATTGCTTGTATACCTGATAATGGTTTTGCTGGAAAACATAGTGTGGTTTGTGATGATCCTAAAAAATATTTGTATTTCGATAGTAACACTGCCGTTAACACTAAAGTTATTGAGGAAGCTGCAAAAAAAATTGTTACCTATTTAACAGTTTAAAGTTTCAATATTATCTCTATTAATATTATATCTTATTTGTTTATTCATTTAATTTTTTTTTACTATTTCGCATTTCAGATTAATTTAATATTGCTGTATTACTGTAGTAAGTAATCAATAGTTAGATTAACAATAAAGTTTAATTCTTGTTCTTAAATTTTTTTTTTTTTAGATAGTATAAATTAGACTATATAAAATTATATTAATATGTAGTTTTAGTAATCTATATATCATCAGCTTGTCCTTCAAATAAACAAGCGATTTTACTAATAACAATGTACGTGTGTACATTTTATTTGAGAACCGAGATAAATTATGTAATAATCAGTCCTCCTAGTTTAGAATAGTTTTTATAAACCTCTGGATTTTAGGCAAAAATTTTTTTTTTAACCCGCTGGCATGATCGCCACAGGACGCCATATGGCGTGAAGTTTATTAATTCAGATTTATGTACAAGTATTTATTATTCACATATATACAAGATGATACTTTTTGACTCTCTAATATGTGTTTTCTATTTTGCAACACCTTAATTTCCTGGCTTAATCGATTTACCAGGAACGGAGTGATGAAATCACGAAGTGTATGGCTTATATGATGCTTTAAGTGGTATCCGTCCACAAAATCTTAAGTTTGATTGGTCCGCGTGACTTATTCATCAAATTTTGGTTGTTTTTCGCACATGAATTTCATCACGCATATAGATCAACGGATATACACGTGCATTCGGATACGTAATCACAGAGCATAATTTGAATACAAAAAAAATGAAAACGTAAGCGATGTCATAGTTGCGATAGTAAAAAAGGAATTTTAGACGCAAAAATCGGTAACCCGGTGCAAAATAATTTGCATATTACCTGATATTTGGCATTTTTTGTTTTTTTTTCGTAGGATTTTTCATTGGGTTGATTAAAATAATTTTCGGATAACATGATAACCAGATAATTTATTACATGATGCCTTGTTTGATTAGCTAATGCGAGTCGATTACCTATAGTGTCTATCAAATGCTTCGCAATATATTAATGAGATGCTAGATTAGTTCTCGTTTGTACGTTACTTGGATTATTTGTTAACTACTATATTTGCTTTTATTTCTGGTTTCTAAGCACGGCTACATAACACAGTGACCTTATTAGAATTATTTGCAAGGCAGGCATCAAGCTGGTTATTATTTTCTTCATTCCATAATGTTATACATTGTTTGGGGTCTTTTTTTAATAGAAAATCTTTGAAACTTTATTTAAAAGGATTGATATGATCAGGGAATGAAAAAAATAAACATAGAATTCAAAAAAAAACTCAAATTGTGATGAGTGAAAATAAATATATTAAAAAAAAAATTATTATATAAAATTTATTTTAAAAAAGTCAGGTGGTCAAACTATTTTAAAATTTTAAAGTTATTGTATAAGAACTAAGGAATTATCTTTGTAAAGGCTTATATAAATTTTTGAATAAAACTTATTTTTTTGGTCCATTTTGTATAACAATAAACTTATATAATTTAATTTAAATAATTTAATTTAAAAAATTCATTCATGACTTATAACAAATTGTTATTATTGGTTATAAAGACAAGACATTTAAATAAATCAATTAATATTCTTATTATTATTAAATTGAATATTAAAACATATAAAATATTATCATAATGATCATTATTGAAAATTAAAAAATCAAGAGTAGTAAAATCTAAAAAAAAATTAATAAGTAAAAATTTTAATTGATTAAATTTAACTTATCTCTTAGATTGTAAACTAACACAAGCAAATTTGCTTGTGTTTTTACATTTTTTTAGCTTTGATCTATTTTTCTAAATTGTTAAAATATATAAGTATAATAATATTTGAAAATAAAAATTACATTTTTGCAGTATTTATTTTTAAATTATAAGAAAAAAAATTAGGTTTCTTATAAACCAAAAATATACAATATTAAAAAAAATTTTCAATAAAAAAATTTTTTAGTTTATCTATAATAAACTTTTTAAATTTTAATTTTAAACTTATAGTTTTTAATACAACTTTTTAGTTTATATTAAAGATTATAATTTTAATTATTACAAGTTTAGTAATTTATATATATAATTAATACTTGTCTTAAGAGAAAATTTTTTTTTAGTTTTAGAAACATATAAAATTTTAAAAAACCTAAAAAATATTTTAATATTAAACCTTAATGTTATACAACTTTTAAACTTTAATTAATTAAAAGCTTTTTAATAAAGTTAAAAAAGTTTCTTAATAAAGTTTATAAAATAGGTTTTAAAAATATTTTTTATTTAGAAAATATATTGCTAAAATTAATTATTAAAATATTATTATAAAAATTAATTTAAAAAAATTAATATAAACAAATTTGACTGTATTACAATTTAAGAGATAATATAAGTAAACTATTTTTATAAATTTTTAACAATTTTGTAGATAAAAGAAATAAAAAATTAATTGGCTTAGAAAGATTTTAAAATTAAACAGTTTACTTATGAGTTTATTTTTAAAACAAATTAGTAATTTTGTTGATAATTGTATCTGCAAACTAAAATATTTTTAATATTATTAATTTATCTTTATTTTATATATAACTATTATTTAATATTTTATATCATATTAATAATTTTTTATAGATATTAGTTGCAATTAGTCTATTGATTTGCTAATTAGATATAGTATTTAGAAATGTTTTTAGCAAATTCAAGATGTAATTTATGATATATTTTTATTCTATAGATATATTAGATATAATAATCAAAACTACAAATATTAGTTACTATTGTATATAGTTGTTTGTTTAATACCTCTAATACAATATAAGGTAAAATGTTATAAATTTCATTTTCTAAATTAGAATTATTTTATTTTTTAGATAATGCTAGATTAACAATATAAAATCACTATTTATATATTAGTTTTACAATATATTACTACTATAAAAATCTTTATAAACATATTTTGTCTTATATAAATTTATTAAATTTTTAGAATATTAACAAGCTAATTTAATTTACTTTTCTATTTAAGATTTTTAAAATTTAAAAATAAGATATTATAAAATTTTTTCTATTCATATATTGAAATACTATTAAATATTTATTATAAGTTGTGTCTTGAGTTATTTATATACTTTAATATTATTACTCTAACTTAAATTTTGTATAACTTTTAAACTTGTTAATTTGAAACAAAATCTATAATATTAATAGTTTATAATTTATTTATATTAAATTAGGTTTTCTTTAATCTATCTTAGCTTAAACCTAATTTGAACTAATTAGCAAATAGCATTTATAAAAAATAGAAAGTATAATGTTATATTTAGTATCAAAAATTGTAACACAAATGTAATTAAAAATTTTTAATCTTAAAACTTTTATTTTTAAATATGTAATAAAGTTTCTACTCTAACATTATTAAAATAAAAAAAAATATATATATTTATATTAGATTATAAATAAAATATTTTAATAAAAGATAACAATTTAGTATAGTAGTTGTGTTATCATTCTCCAAGTAGTAGGTCTAAGGTTCAAATCTTATTTATGACAAAATTTGAAAATTATATCTTATTAATTAGTTAACCTCATATGGTTGTAACTTGAGTACATCAAGTTAAGTTCTATCTGATATTGAAAACTTAGTGCATATATATAAAGTGTAATATTACATATATATAAAAGAATATTAATAACTGGTGTTGTATAAAACTTTGATGCAAACCTATAATAAGATTATTGGATATAGAAGACTAAAAACTGAAGTGACAAAAATTTACTTAAAAATTTCTGAATTAAGAAGTAGCATAGATTTTCAACAATATTATCAGATTAGTTGAAGTCTATAAAATACCTTTATAAAAACAGATCGATAAACTAAACACCAAATATGTATAAAAAAAAACATATAATTAATTAGGCTGCTAAAGAAAAAAAATATAGAAGTATATTATACCAGGCCATCTGAATTAATAGTATGATCAAATTTGCTAGTTCTGAGTTGTAGTTAGTAGAAGATAATAGAAAAGATACTAAGAAAATAGATACTAAGGTCTTAGTAAACTTTACAAAGATAAAAATAGTATAATATAGTAGTTAAACAGATAATCCTTATAACTACAAGTGTTAGATAACTATAGTATGTATTGCATAAAACTAGATTAGCTATGTATAGAATATAACAGGCTTTAGTAAGTCTCTTGTTGAGAAATAAAGTAGTTATAAAGATACCAATAAATATTAGAAACTTGAATGAGCAATACTCTAAAGATGTTTATATGATACAAGATGAATTGCATATGCAGAGAGTTTAAATAGACAAAACCTCTAGCTGGCTTGTAGATATAATATTTAGTATAGAATTTATATAGTAATATATAAGCAAATTACTTAAATTAGGCATCAAAAGTACATATATAACTAGTCGTAACCTTCAATGTAAGAGAGTCTCTGAAGGCAATTTGTGTTTTATAAACTTAAATAAAAATGTTACATTCTAATAATAGAAATTTTAACTTAAAAAAAAATTTTTTTTAATATGCTTTTTTTAAAAAATCATTTGTGAACCAAATAAAGTTTTAAGTACAATTATATATAATATTAAATGTAATTGTATAAGCTTACTAAAAGTATATAAAACTATTTATATAACTACATTGCAAAAAATACAGTATTATAGCAAATTACTAACTCTTTTTGACGATCACTTGTACCAAATTCTGCTGCAAATATTTGATTATTATTCAATATTTTATTAAATAAACTACCTTTAGATAGCTAAATAAAGTTGTTTCTAACATAATTTTACACTTAGGTGGTCTAGTTATATATCTCTGGACCTCTTATTCACTAAAATATTTTTATTAAATATAAAAACACTTCTATTCAAGTTATCTTAATATTTTACTAATTAAACAGCTCTTATATCTTAAAACAAAAAGAAAAAGCTTATTCATAGCTTCATTTTGATATAAAATTCATTAAAATGGCCTAAAACTGACCA